GGTGCCAGCAGTGTTGGCTTCCTCAGAGGCCTCTCTCCCAAGCTCACAGGTGGCCCTCTTCTCCCTGTATCTTCCCTCTGCGTGTCTGAGTCCTAATCTCTTCTGAGATGAGGACACCAGTCACGTTGGATTGGAGCCCACCCTAAGGGCCCCGTTTTCATTTATTCACATCTTAAAGGCCCCATCTCCAAATACAGTCAAGTTCTGAGGTCCTGAGGGTCAGGGCTTCCACATGTGGATTTGGGGGTGGGGGGGAACAGTTCAGCCACTAAGGGGCACTAACCGAGAAGCTGCACATGGCACACTGCTGTCTCCACTCGGCTTGGGTCCTACTCAATGGTCAGAACAACTGAAACCAACTGAAACGGAGTCAGGAGACTGGGTTCTTTGGTTATGACTTTTCTGGTTAGGTCAGGGTTGCTCAGAAACATTCAATAATACTACCCTGCCCCTTTATTTTTAGTTCTTATTTTGATCTTTTTGGATATATTCTAAGACCGCTTCTTTCTGACCTTAGTAATACGTGAGGGTCATCACCTCTAGGCTCATAAGATCCTTATATTTATCCTTCATTGTTACTGGATGTGGATATACCAGGTGTAGGCGGTAGGGACAAATGTCCACTTCCCTTTTTAAATGAATTGTGGGAAAGTGTTTGGCTTTGAGGTAGCGGGCAGAGGCCAGGCTTTGGGGCCAATACACTATTGGGCAATTGGAATTTAGTGACACAAATACTGTAGAAGGTCATTCATTCATTCAGCTACTGAGTGCCTACTGTGTGGCACTGTGCTGGTGCCTGTGGCTATCATGATAAATAGAAGCAGTCATGGTCCCTGCTCTTATAGAGCTGACAGTCTAGTGGGGAAATAGACTTTAAAGGCCGTGAGGCAGAAAGCAGCTTAACATGAAAGGCAGGAACTGAGAAAAGGGCAGTGTAGCTAGAGGAGAGTGTAAAGGAGGGTGTAGTTGGAGATACAGCTAGAAAGCCTTCTAGGAAGACCAGGGGAGTTGGAAAAGACTTCTGGACAAGTGACATCTGTATTTTTAAGTATAAATATAACTGATTTCTTCTGGTAGAGAAAGGGGAGAGGCATTTTTAGATAGAATATCATAACTTGGTGTGTTTATTATGGCTCAAGTGTCCTTATATGAAGGAATCCCATTGTTCCAGTTAGTGGAAGTTCATACTTGAGTGGGTTCAAGCTAACTAGGAGTTTACTAGATTTGCCATATTGAGATGTATCTGCCTACACCGATGCAGAGGCTCATTTAAATAGAGAATGAAAGAATGAATGAATGAAAAAACAAATGGGTGCTATGTTACTGAGTGGGTGGCAGTGGTGGGAGGTGCTCCAGGGTGGACCTGACCTTAGAAGCAGTGATGCATTATTGATCCGTCTGTTCAGGTCTGTTGGACTAACAGAAGACAGGCTGCACTGACATCTCAGGCCAGTGGTCCCCCAGCGTGTGTCTCCTCCTCTTCTGCAGTTCTGGGAGGGCCCCTTAAATCCTGCTCACTGGCCCAGCCTCACCCTCGTTGCCTAAACCAATCTCCCAGCTCCAGGCAGGAGAGACCAGAAAGAGCTGGGTCAGCAGTTACTGTAAGGCTGACCTAGGTCACCGTGGCCCAGTTCTGGGGAGCGAGATTCAGATAATCACGGAAGCTGAGCTGCAGAGCATGTTCCAGACATGGTGGGAGTCCAGACTGCTTGGAAGAGGTCTGTCTGCAGGGAGGTATGGGAGGAGAAGCTGGAACACAACGTTGGGAGCACATCAGAAGAGACTGACAGCTCTATCTCTGACGGAAGAACTTGTATGTCGTTTGGTTTTGGCTCAGGCATGAATCTTTGTTTCTTTCCCCCAAGGAAACTAAAATCAGATAAAAGAAGATTTAAAATTGGAGCATAGAATGTTTTTTTCTGCTTTTAATAATTCATTTACTTAAATAGACATAAACAAGGCCACTTGCTAGCTGCTGTTAGGTAGGAAGTCTCTCTATTTCAAAGGTTTTCCTAAATGTAAGGAGTATTCTTTTATCTTGAAAACCAAGATTTTTCTTCCCTCGTGAATATTGCCACCAAACAGTCCTCAAAGTTGGCTTGAGAGAGAGCCTACTGGTAGCTTCCAAGGTCTTGGGATTCAGCTATACCGAAAGACCACGACATCGAAGGATTATTGTAAATTGAGGGCACAGATTTACTTGTGAATAATAGAACAGCTGCCTAAAATAACATCTGAAGGGCAATTACCTCCAGTCTACTTTGATGAATGTGGGCTTTATAATCTGTGGCCAATTAAGACTATCAGTTCTTCTGGGCCCCACAGAGAAATGTACAAACAGGAGACGCCCTTATCTACATTGGCCACATGTGCATGACTGTGCTTCTGTTAAATTTGACTTGTTTTCAGCTCAAGCAAAGAATAACTGGTCTTTGACTTTGAGGAGATTCAGGAAACATTACTGAGTGCCCATTGCCATTTCAGTAGGCACAAGGAGTGGGATGAAAACATCCCACATCCCCTCTTGGGTTTCGTGTGAAGAGTGGGGAGCAGATCAACATGAATACAGGGAAATAGACACGGAGCTCATGATAAAAATCCTGGCATTTGCACATCATGCTACATCTCATGGCTTTATAGATGACTTCTGGATTCTACCAGCCTGTTCCAAAGAATACTTCTCACAGGGTTATTCTTATTTTGAACTTGTAGATACTTTTAATTGCAGTTCCACGTTACCTTGCCTGGGTGCTCCTGCTGGTACCAGCCACCTCCTTCAGGGTGCTCTCTGGCTTCCTGTAGGGGCAGCTCCCAGGCCAGAGCAGAGAATACAGCATTGATACAGCAAGATAAGGGAAGCCCCGGATTTCACAGGGGCAGTGAGGGGCGAGCGGTCTGGCATCTGGAAAATGTATGCCTTAGAGTTTAGTTGTTTAGCATCATTGAGGTCTCAAGCAGTCTGCAGGCAGTGGGGAACTGGAAAGAGGGCAACAGTGTAGAACTGGGCAAATCCATCACTTGGGGTGGCTTTTCTGGGTTAGTTGGCCCTCAGCTCAGCAGTGGCTGTCGGAAAATTGTCAGACAGCTTGGGAACACATGCATGGATTCCAGGGGAAAAGAACTGCTTGCAACTAGCAGTTCAGACATCTTCTACCCTGTGGGACGAAGGGCAGTATGCCCGCTCATCTGCCATTCATATTTATTCACTTTATTTTTTAGCACTTGATACTGTGACTTAACCTCTCCCTGCCTAAGTTTCCTCAAGAAGCAAGATGGGTTTGATGAACTGGAGTCAGAGGGTTTCCTTGGCTGTTATGTTCTGTGATTGTGGAATTCTACTAGGAAAGATGCATCCGGTCCTGAAAGACCTCTACTCCAGTTAGGAAGTTTCATTAAACTAATGAAGAATAAAACAAAACAAAGCAGCATGAAAACTTTAAGCACTTTCACAAGGTAAACGGTGTCATAAGACAGAAAGGAGCTGATGGCCCCTGCCACGGGCCGGAGTGCCCAGGAGAGTCTTTACAGAGTTTGGAGGGTTTGGACTGTGTATTTCAGGATGGAGGGTGAGGAAAGGAGAAGGCATGCAGAGCAGGAAGGGAAGGGAAGGGAAGGGAAGGCCAGGGTGGGACAAATGGAAAAGACATCTGTCTTGCTCAGTCTTGGATCCAACACTTAGTAGAGGCTTGTTAGGCATCCTTGAATATGTAAATATACCAGAATATAACTTCTGGTCTAGATTTATTTATAGATACAGTTATCTAGGGGACTAGTGGGGTGAAGGGGAGGGAAAAAACAGGCTCAGACAAAATTAAGCAGGAATTTATTGTCTGTTTATTGCTGTGTCCCAAATGCCTAGAATAGTGCCTGGTACCTAGTGGGTACTCAGCAAATATTAATTAAATGATCAATGACATGACTTCAGACTGTCAGGTAAGTAAATGGGGAACATTGGAGGTTTTGGAGAAAGTACCATTTAGGAAAGAATTGATTGTAAATGGGGGAGTGAGGAAACAAGGAAATCAGTTAGGAGATTAGGAAGTAAGCACAGGGTCATGAGGAGGGTCTGAAATATGAGGGGCATTGGAAACAAGAGGGGAGAGCAGGATGCGGGATTGGCTGTTGTGGGGTGAAGAGAGTCAAAGATGCCTAAAATGGAAGGTGTGAAGGTGTCTAGGAGAAGAGGAAGATGACATAGAGGGGAGCAGGTAGGGTTTAGCTGGAGGAGAGGGGCACTTAGGTAGCGCGTGGGGGTGAATCGCCTCCATGAGGTGCTCGCAAGTTGAAAAAAGGTTGCAATTCAAGAGCGTCGTCTCAGGGCTGGAGATCAGGTTTGTGAGTCATTGACTTGAGAAGCAGCGGCTCAGGGGACGTGGGGGGGGGGGGGGGGCGGTGATGGGGAGACAGGGAGGCCACCCCTGGGGGAGCACAGCCATGGCCTCTGTTCACAGGACTGGTGGCTTCTACCCCGACTCTTTCTTTTAGAAACATCACAGACATCCTGGAAGCTATGCTCTGTTCTCGTCTGGGGAGTTTTGACTTCTCAGGATTCTTCTCCTGGCCCACTTCCCCAGCATTTCCTCTATTACTTATGTTGGAGCATTCTGTTGCCATTGTTATTTTTCTGGTACTATTATCCCCTATGTGAAACTCTATAATTTGTGTCAAATACATGAGCATCCTCTATAGGAACTGATCTCCTTTCTATTTTTCGAAGGGTATACTGCTCAAAACTCTGTGTGTGTGTCTAAATCTCTCTTAGAAACTGAGCTATAATGACTAATTTCACAACCTCAAATGACAATATACAGTATGCATTTATTGAATACAACTTGACAGACGCTAATATAGCAGATGTGAATTAATATTGGAACAAAAGGACATAGAATACCTATAGAATACCATACCTTTCTCATTTTTACTTTAAAAGTTCTGGTTTACTAGAAACTTCTGAATAGAATTAATTGGGAATTTTAAATCCTTGTTAAAGAATATTTTCCACGCTCATTTCAGCAGCACATATACTAAAATGGAATGATACAGAGGAGGTTAGCATTCCCTGTGCAAGGATGACACACAAATTCATGAAGCATTTATGTATGTTTATGAAAACTCAAAAAAAAAATCAGTTTTCACTTTTCCAACTCAGGTGGACCAGATACCTTCTGAATCGCCCTCTCTTTTCTCCCTCCTTTCTTTGTTTTTCATAAATCTTTTGAATATCACACTGGTGATTACCTAAAATGAACTTGGATAAACCAGAATTTTGTCACTGATGAGAGTTTTGCCAAACTTTCCTTGTGGTGTGCTGCTTGCCTTTTAAACAAATGACTCGCGAAAAACAACTTGGCAGCCTCGCAACTGTAAATTTCTCAGTGGCAGTTTGTGTCTGTATACCTCTTTCAGGTCAAGCGTCTGCTGAAAAACTATTGAGGATGACGCGGGAGTAAAGATACCGCTGCATGAATGCAGTTTTTACAAAACTTGGCAGTTCCTGTAAATAAGTGAAGATCATAACTTGTATTTACCTCTGTAACGTCTAGACTAGAGAATGAGAACCATGAGTTTATAAAAATCCAGGTTGCTGTCTATAAAAATAGAAAAGTATTTTAAAATTATGGTTCCAGTGGGGTAGTGATGAAATTTTTAGTGTATGGTCTTGGACCAAGTGGGTAGCTATCTGGAGAAAGATGAAGTTGTTTCTGTATCTCATACCGTTCAAATAAATTCCGTCTTGACCAGTTCAATTTATATGATCAGTGTGATATTCAAAAGGATTATGAAAAGAAAGGAGGGAGAAATCAGGAAGGCATTCATAAAATGGTCTGGTCTACTTCATTTGGAAAAAGTGAAAATGATATTTTTAACAAGGATTTCAAAATATGAATATATATTCATATCTGCTTAAAATGAAAGGACTGGAAGAAACGTGTAAATTCCTTTTAACTTTGAAGTTAAAAGTTAAGCCTTTTAAACTATGACTCAAAATTCAGAAACCTGAAAAGAAAAAGATTGATAAATTAGACTAAATTCAGATTAAAAAATTTTACCTGGTAAAAAACACAATAAGTAAATTCAAAAGACAAATAACAGTTGAGGGAAGAAATTTACAGTGGACAAAGGGCTAATCTCTATATATAAAGAGCTCCTACAAATGAATAAAATGACTGGCAAACCAGTAGAAAAATAGGCAAAGGACACAAACATATGATTCACAGAACAAGAAATACAGATTGTCTCTAAACCAAATAAAAGATCTTCAGACTCAGGCATAGTAAGAGAAATGCAAATTTAAACTAAGTAGCACTTTTTACTTCATTGGATTGGCAAAACTTCTGAAATGTGATAATCGTACATTGTTGACCAGATGTGCACCGTACTCCTGAGAGTACAAAATTGCACAACCCTTATGCAGGCCAATTTAGCTGTGTCAAGATTACCAATGCAGTTACCCTTTGACCCAGCAATCTGGCTCTGGTACTTTTTCCCTGCAGGTACCCCCTGAATACATATAAAGTGACGTATGTAGGAGGTTTTTCATTAGTGCATTGTTTATAATAGAAAAGATTGGAAACAATTCAAATATCCATTAGTAGGAGACCAGTGAAATAAACTGTGAATCATCCATACAGTAGAATATTGTGTAGCATTTAAAGAGAACATGGAAACTCTTCATGCAGTGATATGGAAAGATATCCAAGACATATTATTAAAATGAAAAAAGCAAGGTGTAGAACAGAGTAGGTAGTGTGCTACCTTTGGTGTAGAAAGGAGTCTGCATTCATATCTGCATGAAGAAATACTGAAAGGATAAGCAAACAGAAAAAAGAAACTTAATAAAATGGTTCTCTTTAATGAGAGGGTGGGGGGGTAGACAGAAAAAGGGTGAGGGTAGCACTGTTTGTTGTATTATTTTGTGAACCATGTGAATTATTATCTATTCAAAACAAAAAATAAGTTACATGTTTGTAAAATTGCGTTTCAGTGGCACTTTAGCATATGTCCAAGGGCTGGAAATAGCTCCCCAGACATTTATCATCTCTTGTTTGGACTCTTGGCTACAGCCTGCTAAGTGGGTCTTGTATGTAATTTATCTGGAGCTGTGCTGTCTAGTATGGTAACCACTCACCACATCTGGCTTTTGAGCGCTTGAAATGCGGCTCTTCCAAATTGAGATGAGCTGTAAGTGTGCCAGATTTAAAGACTTAGCATGAGAAAAGAAGAATGTAAACTATCTCACTATCACATTAATAATTTTCAAAATATTGACAGATTATAGTGAATGATAACAGTTTGGATTAAGGGAGTTAAAATATATTATTAAATTAATTTCCTTTGTTTTTTCTTACCTTAAATGTGGCTCCTAGAAAATTTTAAATTACATATGTGGCTTGGCTCTGTGGCTCGCATTTAGTTTTTTTTGTACAGCACTGATTTAGAGTCCTGTCCACACTTGGCCATGTCTGCCAGAACTACTTTCTTAAAAAAAAAAAAAAAAAAAGCTAAGCATGCTTTAAAACCTTCGCTGACTCTTACAAGCCTATAGAGACCCTTTGTAATAGTGTGAGATGCTTCCTTTACCCGTTCCCTACCTCCCTCGTGAATAAACACTGCTTTTCTTCACTCCCCAGACTGCAGGCCTCTTCGTAAATATGAACCTTTGAATGTACAGTCCCTTCTGCTTGCAGTGGTCTTGAACCTCCATTTCTTTGCCTTGAAAACTCCTACTTGTCTTATAAACCCAATTCATGTGGCGCCTTCTTTGATGACGCTTCCCCGGTTCTTCTGTCCTGTTTCTTTATAGTATTTGGTACACCTGCGTGTTCTCACGCTCGTCATCTGATACCACCATGCATCTTTTCAAGGGTATTGTCACCCTCACCAGACTGTGAGCTCCTGGAGGGCAGAGCCGATTGTTTTTGTGTTTCCAGAACCTGAAACTGCCAGTAGATAAACTCCAAAAAGTCACTAGGAAAATGAGGTTGGTTGTGTTTTGTGGAGAGCACACCCATTTACCTGCCTGGCCTGTGTCTTGAGGAAAGCAGGCTCAAACCCTGCAGGTCTTCGCTTGGTTAAAGATAAACCTCTTTGCATAGCAAACAAACTTATTGTTACCAAAGGGGGAAGTGGGGGGGAAAGGATAAATTAGGAGGTTGGGATTAACATATACACACTACTGTATATAAAATGGGTAAATAATAAGGGCTTACTATATAGCACAGGGAACTATATTCAGTATCCTGTAATAACCTATAATGGAAAAAAATCTGAAAAAGAATAGTATAACTGAATCACTTTGCTGTACACCTGAAACTAACACAACATTGTAAATCAACTATACTTCAATAAAATAAAAAAAAAAGAATAGACCTCTTTGGAATGTTCTAGCTTTAAACAGGCCAGCCTTCTTACAGGCAGAAGACTACAAACTGTGAAGATGTCAGTAGCACCAAACCCACCATGAGTCGTGGTTTCAGGGTTGTGTTCTGACTGGAAGGTGAGAGGTGTTTGTTCAGTCAGAGAACAGAAATCTCCATGCTGGCCGAGTGCCCGTGTTTGTAGAAGGTGAAGGTGGCAGGTAGTTGCCAGAAGGTGAAAGCACGGGTGGAGGCTGGCCGGCCACAAGAAGGCTATGAGTTAGAATGATAATGAAGTTCTCCATCATTCTATGGTCTTGTTGATCTTACTTTGGTGACCGTCTTACCTGCTTTTTAAAATTCCCGTTGTCCTCATCGGCTTGTGGGGTCTTAAGCTTTTGCTTGCAAGAGGAAATAAGAGCAATAAACAGAATATCCAGGGTTGGTGGAACAGAGATTTTAGGAAGGAAAAACTTGTAATTTTGCGGGAAACTGCTCTCCTTAGTTAAGTCACCAAAAGACTCATGTTTACGTCCAGATTTTAGAAGCTTTCTTACTATTGTTCAGGATCCATTTGTTTCTTATATTACAATTCAGATATTGTCACTAGGCGAAGATTCTTGTGCCACGGTCATAATCAGTTGGATGGGGAATGCTTTCTTTTGCAAAACTTGGAGGGCTGGTGGTATAGTAGGAAGCACAGTGTTTTCAGGGGGCTAGAAGAACTGGTCTGAAGCAAGGATTGCCACTTACCTAGTGGTGTGAGCGTAAACAAGTTACGTCACCTCTCTGAGCCTCATTTTTCAGTAACATGAGGTTATAAACACCTCCTGGGTTGTGAGCATTGCAAGGAGAATGGACACTGGTGCTAATATGGCTCCTGGACCATGGTGGGTTTTGATAAATAGTATTTATAGCTCCAGTGCGAATGTAGATTGTCTTTTGCAACTGTCTGGTGTTGAATCGCCAAATGAGCACACCCAAGGCAGAAGAGGAGTGTGTCCTTTCATAATTGTGATGGACTGCAGTGATTGCTGGACAGTGGCAATCCTTAGAAACTGCTCTTCAGAGCCTCACGGTCATCTGAGCGGGGGCAGGGGGTTAGGGGTCAGGATGCCTGGCTGGAGAACTGGCTTTACCGTTAGTTAGCCCCATTCATTCTACCTCCTTGGTCCTGAGTCTCCTGGTTTGTAAAATGAAGGTGTTGATCTTTCCCATCTCTAAAATGCTCTAGTTCTGTCTCCAGAAAACAGCGGAAGTGTCCCCTGGTGGTTGGGCTGCGTTGTTCGCAGGGTAGCATTTCACTGCGCCCAACTCTGAGAACCTGGAAACTGCACAGCTGGGCTCTGCCACCTCTGAATAGCCCCAAATCCAAGGAGTGTTCCCCTTTCCCTTTGGGATTATGTCCCAAGGCAAATAGTCTTTCTGGGCTCCCCATGGTCAGCTTGCACATTCTCCCAGGACCCACCCAGCTGCATCTGTCACCAGAGATACTCACTTTTTTTCTGGAGTTGAGATCTGTTTCCTCCTCATTCTTCGGACAAGAGAGAGAGACTCATCATTTGAAAGAGGGAGATTATCAGGCTTTCTTAAAAAGTAACTTTGGTGCTTAGTAAACATTCTTATAAACATTTTGCTTTCTCTTAGGCACTTGGGGTCTGTGGTCAGCCTCCTCTGCCTCCTTGTCTTATGTGACCCCTCACCTTGAGGGCCCATCCTTCATTCTTGTTTGAGATGGAGGAACACA